TTCACATGGCTGTATAGGTGGAGGTGTCTGTCTGTGTGATTACACGTTGCTCTTTTGAATATATTGGAAAGTGAATTACAATTAAAAAAAAACTATCACCAAAATTTTGGACAAAATAAAGATTGGGAAAATCTCCCCAAATAGAATGAGTAGGAGGTTTTCTCAAACTCGAGTATTTTGTCTTAAATGCTGCCCTTAAGTCACCAACTCGCAGCTTAGTGAATTCATTGAACAGTTTAACGTTGCTTTGCCTTCTAATGACTCAATGAAAAGAGGAAACGTGGGGAGATATCATCTAGCTGACCCAGCATTATGAAAATTATAACAAAAATGATCCCAGATAGAAATATCCCCATCTCTGCCATTTAGACAATATTTTACATGCTGGCTATCACCTCACCATAAGACGCTGATTAGTGAATATATTAATTATGGAGGGGAATTCATTTATTCATTTTGTTTGTTGGTGGATACAATAGGGTCATTTTCATTGAATGATTGCAGACAATGAGAATGGAAATTTTAAACAAAGGTGACAAAACAGGACAATGGTCCGAACTAGGATGGTACTTAGTTTCTGTAAATGCAAAAATCACATTAGTGGGCTGAAAATTTAATTCAGATGCATTGCAGATCATACTGAGAACATCACTATGTGTGATTAACAATTTTCCATTTTCACAATTCACAAAAGAGGAAATGATGTGTGTGTGTGTGTGTGTGTGTGATGCTCTCACTGACAGTGGAGGAGTTGATACATGGTGTATAGAAATGGAAACAGATTGAGGCAGAGCCTTTGTAAGAGAGAAAGGTCCTTCTTGCTAGACTTCCCATTCTGCCTGTAATACAGCCTGGGCTGCTTAGTGATAGATTTAATGCTGTCAGACGGTTCCAGTAGGAGCAGCCTTGTGTTCTGCTAACTGGGAGCATTGTATCAGTGGAGGCTTGGCCAGCCCTCTGGCACTTTCTGGCTGTGCTGCTGTGATCTATCTCATGTTGCTGTGGACCAAATCTCAGAACATTCATGAGTCAGGTCTTGGAGATTAAAGATCGAACACCGTTTTTCACATCTCAAGCAAGTCTACTGAATAATGAACCCGGTGATTGATTGCTCTGATTCCCATACGGCACAACATGCCTAGAGCACTATGCTGTGTGACCAGCTAGAAAAATGTTTGGAGAACATTTCAATAAACCGGGCTTTGCTGTTTGTTTTGTTTTATTTTGTTTTGTTGTTTTGTTTTTTGTTGTTGTTTTGTTTTTAATGTTTTTGTTGTTTTTTGTTGCTTTTTTGTTTTCAAATTATTATGATTGTTTTTTTTATTTTTTTTTGCGACTTTTCACAGTCGCTACTGAAGGCAACACAGTTCGCTGTTTAGTGAATAGACACAAGTGCATGAATTTCATCTGGGTTTGGAACTTTTGCATCTACAGTTTTGCAAAAATGTATCGAAATCAAGGTATATATTTATAACACGAAATGTGACCAAACTAAAATATACACGTGTGTGCATGTTTTGTGTGCTCTCCGTGCTTTCCATTCGTACACACACATATAATAAGATATTTTCCTCATACATATAATGTGATTTTATTGCTCAGTCCCCGTGCTTCGTTGGTGAATTTGGTTCTTGCGTTATTTGTGATGCGTTATTTTAAATAAATAATTAGGGCCGAGCAGTTTTGATTTAGTACTACTTGGTTCCTTAGCAACACAAGCCGCTATATAGCGCAACACAAAGCGCAAAGAGGGCAAAATAAGCCGCTATTTGATCGCAGTAGAAGCCAGAAAAATAAATAGCCATAAAATCCGCTGCAGTAACAACACGACAAACACGAGTTAAGAGTCAGAATTCTATTTTCTGAGCAGATAGGTAAAAAAAATTAATAAAAAATATAGGTACCATTCCCATTGCTGTTTTATGTCCGTTCATTCAAGTGCATAGAGATGTCTCAAAAAGTAAGTAATCCGTGGGTCTCTGTCTTAATACCTTACTCAATGACACGGGCATTCATTATTCACTCCCTTTACTGGAGTCTGCAGCTAAATCTCCTTCCCAGCAATGCCAAGCCAACACTCAGTAAATGGATCAGTAGCAAAGGATTCATCAAAGACCTCCTTTCTCTTCCGAATACTAGCTGGTTGGGCGGAGACAGGTCTCTCTCTCTCTCTTTCTCACTTACACTCTCTCTCTATCTCCACTCTCCCATTCTCTCTCTTTCATTCTCTCCCTCTTTCTTTCATTCTCTCACCTTTTCACTCTCTCTCCCCTTGTCCTCATTTCCTTCTGTCTCTCCCCCACTCATACATGCACTCTCTCTTCCTCACACATACACTTTCACTGTCTCTCTATCACACATCACATTATCTTTCTCTCTCTCTCACACCCACATCTACCTTTCTTTCTTTTTCTTTTTCTCTCTCCCTGCTTTATCTCTTTCTCCCTCCCTGCTTTCTCTCTCTCTCTCTCTCTCTCTCTCTCACTCTCTCTCTCCATTAAGAACAGATCATACATTAAAACACACACACACACACACACACACACACATAATGACCCCAGCCAAACTAAATCAAAAAGTTGCCTTCCTAAACTATCTTAAAAAAACAATTCTCATTTCCAAGAAAGGTCTCCTTGTGAGATCAATAAAACAATGGTAGGGGGTGAGGTCAGATTTTTGTGAACAGATGAAACCTGTAAATTCGTACTGATCCCTAAAGGAATTCACAAAAATACCCCCCATCACTGTAGAAGGTAAACCGGGGTACTAAGGGCTGGTACAGGAATAGATAAAAAAAAAAAAAATCCATTAACCCATTAATGGAAAGTACTCATTCCATGACCTATATAGCAATTTAAGAATTTTATCAGAGTTGGTGTACAATGGATATAATTTAATAACACATATTAGAACATTGCAGATTATATTGCAATAGTAATGTGTCGGGTATACTTATCAAATGAGCTGTATTAATAAATATAGTGCAGGATTATTTTGTTGTACTGTCAGTGTGGGAGGACTAAACAAAACAGAAACAACACCATATATCCATTAGAAAAGCATTAAATAACTATAGCTTATAAAATGCATCACTTGTATACTCTATACATAGTTTTGGCACTACTGTAATATAGTCTTCTAAATTTGAACTCGGGATATTTTGATACATACGCCCCTAATACTTTGATAACAATGTTTCAAAAGACAAAACAGAACACACAAAGGCCAGGAAGCACGTCTGTACGTATTATCATAATTGGCTCATTTCCAAAGTGAACACAAGAGGTCGCTGTTGTGACCCAATCCTGAAAATATTGTCTAAATTGTTAATCACTGCTTAAACTGTGTCTCCACAATCACAATACCAAGAGGATTCTAAATACTGTATATGATTATGAGAGGTACTGCATTTATTAAAATAAATGTTAAGTGTATAAAGTAAAAGCTAATATGGCATATACAGCACCAAATTTAAAAAAATACGTAATTACCAATGGTATGTGTCTTAATTTACCGTAATTATTAATGTAAACCTCACTGAAACATTTCATAAAATGAAATTATAATGCCAAAAAATATTTTGTTTTGCTTTATTTTTTTTTAGAGAATAAAAGCACAAATCTCTGCTTGCCTCTCTTAGTACTACATTTGTATTGTATTTTTTTTTATTTTTTTTTATTAATAAACTTTTTTGGGGGGTGGTGGTGATCACAGCAAGGGTACAGTCATCTATCAACTAATAGGAAGGCTTTTATGAATCAAACACATGTATCATAATATGATTTTATGTCTGTGCTCACAGGAATAACCATTACAACATCGTGGATTATAAATGTCTATGAAATGTGTATCTAATTTAAAAAGTGGGTCACCCATACTGGTGTGTGATATGTTCATTTTATGGGGCTCTCCATTGAATAGTAGATAGAGATTAGTTGACAACTCAGATGATTTGGAATTTTTATCAACTATAATATTTTACTCTAAATTGTGCACGTGGGTTAGCAACTTGTCACTATTTATTGTTTAATGAATTGCATCTTGCTGTTAGATTTCAGATATTGAAATGGTTCATTTTTGACCGTTTGTTCAGTTGTAAAATGTTTTCAAATATCATAGAATTCGGATTATTTGAAAACATTGAATAACATTCCAAACAAATCTTTAATCATGTCCATAAATGAATTGTAAGCTTCAGACGTTTGTTGTAAGTGTGTGTGTGTGTGTGTGTGTGTGTGTATACCCTATATATTACAAATGTAAAAAAATATATGTATGCATATAAATATATGTAATTAGCTATGTTTTGTATTGCAATTAAGTGATTTTAAGCATTTGGACAAGACTAATTATCGACTGTGGAGATCTTAAACAAACAATTGCTAAAGAGGTCACCTCTATTGTCTGAGGAACAAGTAAGACGGAAGCTTTTCATGGCCTGAAACTCTCAATGACAGTCGTTGAATCTGCATTTAAATATCCAACAAACCCACGTCCTGATATGAGCTGTTTGTTTAAAAAGCCACTGCACGATAACATATAGTATTTACATCCAAAATATTCGTGTATTATAGCATTGAGATTAAAAAATAAATAAATCAAAAAAAACATGAAAATAAAAAATAAATAAATACACAGAAAAAAATAAAATATATATTTTTTCCTTTTAATAATTTTCACAAATATTAATTTCAGCCCTGATGGTAATCAAATAAAATAAATCCACATGGGCAAATATTATTAAATTAAAAAAAAAAAAAAAATGTAAGATGCCCTGAAAATAAAAGTGCTAGCTAGCTGTATGTGCAGAGGTGAGCCCCTGACTCCCATATTAATCAGTGTGTGTGTGTGTGTGTGTGTGTGTGTGCTGGGGGTGGTAGCTGTGAGAGTGGCACACAGGAAAACAGCACTAGAAATGTGATCAGAAGGAGAACAGCTGCTGGGTGCGCGGCTCAGCCAATCAGCTGGGGGTAGCGGTGACGTCGCCGCGCTCTGCGTCACACCAATGGAGATTGAGCTGAGTTGGAGCAGAGAAGTTTGAGTAAGAGATAAGGAAGAGAGTGGCCGATCAGCATTGACTCCGACACTGCAGCGTCTCCTTCACTGAGGAAACTGGACGGATCTACATCAGGGACAGCAGGGGCAAGCAGCACAGACAGCACAGCATCCTCCTGGGCTCCTTATTGCACAGCACATAAACTATTTCATTGTGTGTGGGGATACAGCAAGCTGACACCATTTCACTGTGGACATTACACCCTCTTACAGATATGGGTGACATGGGAGACCCTCCAAAAAGTAAGCAAGCTATTTGTTTTTCCTTTGCTGTGAGTTTTGTGCCCATACCCAGCCCTGCAAGAATGATGGTGCACTGCATGTCTACACTGCAATGAAGGAGGGGGGATGAGGGGGGGTACTTACCTGGGTGCTGTCAGTGCCAAGGGGTAAGAGGAGGGGGTGTGGGAGGGTGATGGTGGCTGGAAGCTGTTATCTCAATGAGGTACCTCATTTCAGGTACAGGAACTAAAATGCTACCTTGATGATATTGCTGTGAATTGGATATATATATATATATATTTAAAAAAATACATTTGTGTGTAAGTACAGGTACATTTATATATTTATTTATTTATTTATTTATTATGATTTAGAATTTTATGCATTTGGCCATTTAATATGAATCCCTCTCCTGCATCTGGGAGTTATTACAGGCATTTCTGCAAGTGATTATTAGGATGCTGTGTATGTGTGTGTGTGTGTGTGTCTGTGTGTGTGTGTGTGTGTGTGTGATCTGCCAATTTCTATGACTGTATTATGTGTGACAGCAATCCTGGCACAGGGTATGCTTCATTTGAACATCCCTCTTCTAAATGCTATAATTTCCCTAAATACTGTCATGTAAAACACAAGGGCAGATCGCTTACCTTCATACACACACTTTAAATCAATCATGTTTGTGTGATACTCTGAAGCACACACACACACAATCAAATATATATAATATATAATGTAATATATATATATATATATATATATATATATATATTATACACACACACACCTTATGTGTGTCTGTGTGTAAATAAAATAATTGCAGTACATATTGACAATCCTAGTCTCCATTTAAAACATGGTCCGCCTCCTTTTAAATGAGTCAAAGGTTTGATGGCACACATCAATTATCATCTAAAAAGTGGGATATACTTGTTTTTGTCTTAATACCATGCACACACATACAGCCTCTCAGTGCACGCCCTGCAAAAAGTGTGTTTATCTCTGTAGGAGAGTAAACGGTTAGTCAATCATGTATTTCTTTTTTTTGCAGAAAAACGCCTGATTTCCCTATGTGTTGGCTGCGGTAATCAGATTCACGATCAGTATATTTTGAGGGTTTCCCCGGATTTGGAATGGCATGCAGCCTGTCTCAAATGTGCAGAGTGCAATCAGTATCTGGATGAGACCTGCACTTGCTTTGTTAGGGATGGCAAAACCTATTGTAAAAGGGACTATATCAGGTATGCTGAATCCTGGACTGGTTTATTTACAATTTCATTTCAATGTGCTCTTTATTTTTATACAATACTGGCATTATATCTGGCATTATATATATTTTTTTAATTTTTCTTTCCTTTATAGAAACAGTTATAGCAATAAAATAATAATTTCATAAGGTTACTATTTTATTTAGATCACGCTACAAGTCAGGTAGTGTTTGCCCATTTTATTTATATTGTTTGTTTGTTTGTTTGTTAAATGTGTATATGTTGAATAATCAATAGAATATTAAGTGGTTTCTTTTCTCAATAATGAAGTGACATTTCAGGATAAATGCATTCTATACACCTTAATAAAATTATGATAAATATATATTGTTTTTTAGTGTTACATTTTATAATATTTATACATTTTTTTATTTTACGAAAATTGTGGTTAATATTAAATATATCCATTTGATCATTTGTCAGATTGATATTAATATATAATTATTAAGATGAAGTCCTGATAAAATCAATGACATTTAATCTTAAAAAATAGCCCTGTCCCAGTGTATGATTGTCTCCCCTCTTATCTTATCTCTGTTGATGAATTGCACAGAACAGATCAAATTGCCCATCATCCTGCTGTGAACAATCGGGATATTTAGATAATGGGAACAGCTTCCTTCCTCACATTAAAATCTGGGAACTGATAAACTCCTCCAGTTGCCTGTCCTGACACCACACAGACCCAAACTGAGGGAGCCGCTTACCTTTATTTATCAGTCCTTTCCAAATTGTAGCCTACCAAAAATACAACCCACTATCCGTAAAAAAAAAAAAAAAAAGAAGAAGGATAAGAATAATGGGGATTTACAAAGTAAAATCGTATTCTTCAAATGCACACGATACAATGTATACAGGCAAAACAATAATATTTATATTATTACCGTTATATATTAAAAAAAAATCCTGTAAATTACTCACATTAAAGTGTACACGATTTATAGAATATAATTAATTTCCAACTACGTTATGTTTGGGGTGCATTATTTCTTAAGCACGTTGTGTGCTTATATTTAATGTTAATTTTAAATATGACGATATTAAAAATGTAAAGATCAGCTTCAACAGAGAAGAATTTAAAACTGTGTGCATAAATTAAAAAAAATCAAAAGAGCAAAATAATATCTTTAGATATCGAGAATAAGATTTATATATATATATATATGTGTGTGTGTGTGTGTGTGTGTGTGTGTGTGTGTGTGTGTGTATATATATATATATATACTGCATACTTTTAATATTATAATCTACAGACATATACTATTATATATAGACTACATACATATAACATTTTACATAGAATTGTAACAAATTAGTTGCTGAAGAAACCACGTGGCTTAAATGAAACCTGTCTTTATCATAAATCAACAGTTTAGTTAAATAAAAGAACTGTCGATCTAGGGCCTGAAAGGCTTTATTCACACAGACTGAAGCCAGACATTAGAGGTAAGCGAGCCCTGCTCTCTGTGTGTACTAAACTCAGTCTATTGGCTGACAGATTAGCAGGGGTACACACACTTTGAGACACTCTGGGATGTTTCATACATGTGAAGTCTGAAACATATCAGTGATAACAGTAATAATTCCATCGTTGGAGGAGAAACCCACAGAACGATCCTTGTTCGTAAAAGAACACTGTGTAAAAAAAGAGAGAATGAAAGAAAGAAAATTACAAACAAACAAACAAAAAAGAATCCATGCTTCTTCTAATCTGCCAGACAGTATAACCAGGAAATTGGTTAGCTATCTATCACATACCAAAGGGTGGCTGTTTTTTTTTATGTGTTTTTTTTTTTTTTCCTTCTTTCTTTTTTTAGGTGTAGACAGAGCTGGGTGTCCAAACAGTGGGAGCAGATAGGTTACACACACATACACAAATAGTTAAATATAGATAGAGCAAGTATAGATAAGGCCAAGGACTTTCAAGGAGCCACTTGGATCTGTGTTCTAATATGAGCAAAGTGAGAGATCTGACACTTAATTTCTTTTTCTTTTCTTTTTTTGTCCTTTTTGTTTTTCCTCCCCCTTGCCCACCCCACCACCATTGCAACTGCTCCCACCGTGCAGGTTATACGGGATCAAATGTGCAAAGTGCAATATCGGCTTTAGTAAGAATGACTTTGTGATGAGAGCCAGATCTAAGGTGTATCACATCGAGTGTTTCCGCTGTGTGGCCTGCAGTCGCCAGCTCATCCCGGGGGACGAGTTCGCTCTGAGAGAAGATGGCCTTTTCTGCAGGGCAGACCACGACGTGGTGGAGAGAGCCAGCCTGGGGGGCAGCGACCCTCTCAGCCCCCTGCACCCTGCAAGACCCCTGCAGATGGCAGGTACTTCCTTCTCCCGGATTACGTTTCATGCTGCCTGTCACAGGAGAATGGGGACAGTGCTAGACTTCCTTGGGATTACCTGAAGGATCTCTCTCTCCTGCTCTCAATACTGCTTCATTCCAATCACCCATGACTAGAAGCCAAGGCAATTTTATTTTTAATTATTTTTTTCTATTTTTTTATTTTTTATAATTTATGGAACTGCTAATCTGATTTGACACATTTATTATTATTATTATTATTATTATTATTATTATTATTAAATACGTAGATACAGTAAAAAAAATAAATATAGCTGTAAAGGATAAAGCAAAATTAATTTAGAATTTGATTGTGTTATTAAAAAATATATATCAGCACTTCTTAAAAACTCGATCTAAACGTGTTCAGTGCATGAAACGGCAAGGCAAGCAAAGGGTTACATCCGAGAAGCAGAAATATATATATTTTTTCCAGTTGTGACTATGTACAATTGCATTGCAATGCAATGTTATACGATGTGTCTTGCTGTTTTGTATCCCCTGGCCTTGTGGTGGTAATCCGACACCCCTATAAAGCTGCAAATGGTTAATATAACAGCATTTACATATAAATAGACGAGAAAGGAGAGATAAGTATACCTGCAAAAAGAAAATATATACAATTAAATTCAGTTATATATTTTAAAAAAGAAGATAAATCTGATGTGAAAACTTAGTGCACGATTATAATGTTTTGTTTCAATTTTATCTTTTTTTAATTTTAGTTTTTGTTATTTTATTTAAAAATAATAATAATAATAATAATAATTTAAGAATCCTTTTCAGTAAGACTTGGAAAAATTGAAGGCAGACACTTAGCCTGTAATTTAAAACTGTCAACAAGCTAATCTTCAGTAATTGCCTGCTAAAGCGATCTTGCACTTTTCAAACATATCTGGTGATTTGATAAAAAAAAATAAAAAAAAATTGGGTGGTGTAACCCCATACTACATCTAAGAGAAGAGAGAGATCCTACAGTAAAATACTGAGCAGAAATAGGTCAATGTTTTTTTTTGTTGGTTTTTTTTTGTTTTTTTTTTGTTTAATGCTATGGTTGTCTTGTAAGCACTGTGAGGAAGAAAAAAAAAAAAGCAAACCACAAGGATCACATAGCAGAGTTTGGATAAACTAGTTGTTTTAATTCAAAAGAGAATTTTCCAGTCCATTTATGACTAATTGAAAAGAGATTGTATACATTTATCCCCATTGCAAAGGCTTCAAATGACATTCTTACCAAAATACCTGTTGGGGGAGGGACACACAGAAATTCTGATTCCATACAACTGATTGCAAAGACATGAAACCCTAGAAGTTTTTTGGAGACTGAATTCCCCATAATGCTTAGCCTGCCAATATCTAGGGTAGCTAAAGACAGTGCTCAGCTCTATTCCTTAGCCTGCTCATATCCAGAGTTTTGCAATGAGAGCTGAAGGGGATATACTGTGTTTTTGGTATCTGGGCATATCTTTTGCAAACAGAACAGCTTACACTGTAACCACATAGCTGGAAACAAACGCGTTTACACCACTTGTGCCGCTTTATTGTTCTATGTTATCAGCTTAACCTAATATTTAAGGAGAAATGCTGTTTACAATTGCATTGTACTTTTATATCTTGCCTTAGTTAGTCTGAATAGCACCTCTTACATAGAGATTTGTTCTGCTAGTCACTATTTCAAGGGAAATTTGACTTTCTAAGATCACAAAACCCTTTTTTTAATTATTATTATGAAAGGTTAAAATGTCTCCTTTTATGCCTATAGATATGGGAAATGATTGCATACTATTACACAGCTTTCAGCATTTGTGAGGCTTATAAAGTGACAAAGGCTATATTGTATGTTATAATGTATTTAACTGATAATATTAATCTAAATGCATAGAAAAGACTGGGCTTGATTACTTAATGCATAAATATAGAACAATATGTATACAATTTTGGGGGGCTGTTAATTCACTAAACAGTGAGTCTGGGGCTTGATTAGAAATGTTCTTAATGTCGATCAAAATATCCAGGAAGAATAAAAGTATTTTAGAAGACTTGCAATATGCATTATAAAATAACCCCCAAGATATCTGAGATTCAGCAGAATTTAAATTTATTTTTATAATTTTCTTTTTTTTTTTTTTTCTAAATAATGTAAGTTGATTCTCAGCTGAAGACTATGTGAGTAGTTACTGTGAGTTCATAAATGACCTTATTGGTTCATTCATTTTACAGCAGAACCCATTTCTGCCCGGCAGCCCGCCCTAAGACCCCACGTCCACAAACAGCCAGAAAAGACCACCCGGGTCCGAACAGTCCTTAATGAGAAGCAGCTTCACACCTTGAGGACCTGCTACGCTGCCAATCCCAGGCCTGATGCTCTAATGAAGGAGCAGCTAGTGGAAATGACTGGGCTTAGTCCCAGGGTCATCAGGGTCTGGTTTCAAAACAAGAGGTGCAAAGACAAAAAGAGGAGTATAATGATGAAGCAACTCCAGCAACAACAACCAAACGACAAAACTGTAAGAGCCTCCTTTATCTAGGTACTGAGACATTTTAACCCTTTGAGTGACAGTTCCAAACCAACCAGTTACTCTCGCACCTGCTGACACCCAAAGGGTTAAAGAGACTGGGGAATATTCTATCATTAAAATGTTATGTATTTTTATTTATTATCAAATAGATCTGCTGAGCTATTGTCATCAATTAACCGTTAAATGGCCAAGGGCGGTGAACAATGCCTTTTTGCCTCCTAAATGGTTTACAGGGGTGAACAATAAGCTGTCACTTGGTCCTTCTGACACTCGAAAATATATTTTAAACGACTTTTTTCCCTTTCTTTGCAAGTGGAATTGAGGGATGGTTACAGTCGCTGGGCCCATCTAGCCCTCAGTGGGTTAAGTTTATCATGCATGCTATGAGTGGGCTTTATAACTAATGCTTTTGTTAATCTGTTATCTTTATAAACCCTTTGAATGCCGAATTGGGTGGGCATTTATGTGCTGCTTAGTTACCCCCAACCCTTACGGCATCACGTTATGAGAAGGCTTTGCTATGACTATACTATAAACCATATACAAATATTGTTAGATAGGTTTTGTATTAACCCTTGTATCGCCAAAGGAGTCCAACCATGCTGAAGTCACTATTTCTCTATGACATAGTAAATAGTGCCTTAGTTTACTAAACATATCTTGTCCTAAACGTACTTTAACAGTTATGCCTTTGGATTCGTTGTCTTTTAACCCTTTAAAATGAACATATTTAAACTTTGGTTTGAGTCAGTGGGCCAACCTGGCACTCAAAAGGTTAAATGGGTGGTGGGGGGGGGGTTAATCTGGTGCTATTGATATAATGCCTTCAGTGTGTGCTTTTGGCAAATACAGGTGTTAATACTGACCTTTATTAACTCTTGAAGACAGAGGATGAGGGCTGCGTTACATACACACACTTTGCAGAATGTGAATTGTGTGTACTATGAAATGCGATTTTAGTCCAATGTTAATTACACCATCTACAGGACTGTAGTATCCGCCCATGAATGCTTGATTTATTTAGGAATGTTCTATGTTTGCATCCCCTGACTTACTGCAATGATAACCACACCTATCACTCCCTTCCCATTAAAAATGGCCATTTTGAATTGTGGTTTTACCTTTCACTCTTGAACTCAGAATAATAAGAATACAGTGCTAGAATACTAATACACAGTGTTAAAATGTCTCTGCTAGTTTAACAGACATACACGGATTTAACTATCTCAGTGCCAGAAGCCACATAGTTCCTCAGGGTAGCCCTGTCTAGCCTAAAGATCTCGTTCAGATACGTATTTTCTGTGTTTATATCATACACAAATCAGTGTTTCCAGCTGAAATTCCAAATAGCATTCTAAGCAATGCATTTCCACATTTTCAACATTGTGTCAGTCAGTCCACACTAGCAATCATGCAGGTTTTACACCCACATGGTGTGCTTTACAATAGCCAGGAGCTATATGTGACAGGCATAGGGGAAGGTCTCCGGGATCTGTCATACTGTACCTTCTCTGGACACTTTTTCCTTGTGCATGCCACACCTGGGGTTATTATGTTAAGTAATCACAAACTATGTTACTGAATATGAATTGTGCAACATTATACCTAATTCTCTAGAAAGCTGATTGTCACAAAATATCCATCCATCTATCCATCTATCTATCTGTACATTTTTTGTTTTTTTTTACAACTGTGGTTGCTGAAGGAGTTATTTCCCAAATAACATGAGTGGAAGACAGATTTGAAGATGCTGCAGTTAGTTCCCTGACCCCTATTCGCTGTTGCTGGTTATCACAAATTGCCTCTATTGTCCTTCACATGGGTAGCAATTACAGGGAAATTAAAGGTCATGCTTTCCTTTCAGAATATTCAAGGGATGACAGGAACCCCTATGGTGGCTTCTAGTCCCGAACGACACGACGGCGGATTACAGGCGAATCCTGTGGAGGTTCAGAGTTACCAACCACCGTGGAAGGTCCTCAGTGACTTTGCACTGCAGAGTGACATTGATCAACCGGCTTTCCAACAACTGGTGAGTCTTTACTTCATGGTCTAAATGGGCTCTAGGCTGGGGGAGGGGGTTATCATTCCTCTGGACTGTAACTCCCATCATCACCAGTCATGCTTGTATATGGGTTGTGCTCAGTACAGTCATGCATGGAATTGTGATATGTAAATTACATCAAGAAACTTATCAAATAAGAAAAACTACAAATGTACTTTTAAAATTCTCTAACTTACACATACACCCCCAAATTAATAGCAAATAAAATTTCTAGTATCTTCATTTTTCTATATGAACTCAATGGGGGGATAGCCATTTTTAAAATATCTGGTGAAAGAATTACCCTTTAAAAATATTGCAAAAGTGGGCTCTGTTAACTAAATAAAATGTCTTGGTGAGTTGACAGCTAAAGCAAGATGTCGACCAAAATAGCTGAGTTGCCAATCTTTAGATTCTAACTCTGCAATTTTCAAAGACAATTTGCTTGTTGGTAGTCAGCCTGCCACAGCTCACTATTTTAGGAATAAAATACGATTTATTCAGGAAACCTTCTTCTGCAGCATCAAACCCAAAACGTGCAATGCAATACAAATAGGAATTATTAGTATCAATGTTGTGCTTTGTAATAATGTAATATGTTTTAAAGATTTTAGTATGTGTTTGACTTACAATGTAAATATTATTTTCTGCTAATTCCTCTGTAATCTATGATGACTGTAATTTTAAAGGGAGGTTCTAGAATGCCTAGTACCCCACCCACGTTGACAAAAAAATAAAATAAAATAATAACTTTAAAAGATGTATTCCTTAAACAATAAACCGTGTAGAGTTAAAAATCGAATCTTAATATTCAGAGTAATAGAGCCAAAATGGGATTACAGTGCAGTTGGACAATTTTTCTTAATCAATTTTTTTTTCCTTAAAATTTCCAATTCATCTTTCTACTCCTACCACTTATTATTTAGTGAATAAACCACTTTATTTTTAGTAGAAAGGCTTGTTTGCTAAATAAACAGGGTCCCTCAAAACCTACATTTTACTTGACACCATATAAACCTGATTAGTTATTCACTCATTCGCTTTTTATGATTCACTCACTTCTAATGATTCTCACTGGTTAATCTTAGTGCTACATGTGTAATAAGAAATTCTGTCTGTACACTTGGTAAATGAAATATCAACCTCTTCGGATGACCATTCTAGAATTTATGAAGTCTTCATGTCTAGAATTTTTTTTCACACTTTCTATTTTTTTTTTCCTTTTCTTTTCCTTTCCCCCCTTCCTGTTCTGCTTCTAATGGAAGACCTGTTTCTCACAGGTAAATTTTTCAGAAGGAGGACCAGGTTCCAATTCGACTGGAAGTGAAGTGGCCTCAATGTCTTCACAGCTACCGGACACTCCAAATAGCATGGTAGCCAGCCCCATCGAGGCATGAAAGGAATGGACTCTGATTTTCCCCCAAAACTTTTGGAAATAAAACGGGAAGAATATACTCTTGGACTTCAATACAGTATTTTATGAACCAACTGATGCAGCCAGAGCCTATAGGAAACCCAGGAAGATGCACGGAGTCCATCCGGAGATGATGGAAGGTAGCAACACTGTGAAGACAATCATGGGATATATATTACTAGGATTGAACGACCTAAAAAAATATTCAAAATGGTCGAGGAATATAGCAAGAATATCACATACAATAAATGGGGCTTTGAGGAATTATATCTGTTGATCTTTGGAGGAAAAAAAAGAGGAACCAAGGATTAATCTTGATTGCAACCCTTAGCACATTTTACAACAAACCCAAGATGGAGAGATAACACACACATCTTCTTAATCCGAATGGTGCTTATCTCACATCACTTAATCATTGCATTGCCAAACAGGAGCTCTGAGAGGTTTGAGGCCAGCCCAGACTATGACCAAGTTAAATGGACATTGACTTGAGGGATCTTCTGGAGGATTAGAGGTGCAGTTTGGATACATCAATTTGCAATGTTCTAAACAAATTGTAACAAATGGGGAGTTGCTAAAATTATAGCATGTTAACTGTTTTTTTTTTTTTTTTTGAGATCCTTCTTGTCTTTCTCATGAAGTCCAAAAAAATAAATAAATAGAAAAAAAAAGTTGAAAACCACAACCAAACTACATATACAACAACTAAAGACAGGCTTAATTAGATTATTATTTTCAATATGCTTTTTCCCCCAAATCAACTCTAGGAAGCATTGCAACAACAAGGTATACCTCTTTAAACACAAATATCTCCAGTTTGTTTGTGATTCTTGTTAGTCCAAGAACTTTTTCCCTCCCCCCCACCCCCAAAGATGTGTATAGTTATTGGTTCAAACGACTGTTTCTCTCTGGAAATAAAGAGGAATGAAACTTTTTGTTTGCTCTTGCATTGCAAAATTATAAAGTAATTTATTATTTATTGTCGAAAGACTTGCCACTTTTCATGTTATTTGACTATATTTTTTTTTTGTTTGCTGAAGTAAAAAAAAAAAAATCAAGAAAAAAAATGTTGTATGTGAATTTGTGAATTATATGTCTATGTCTGCAATTTTGATTTTTGTTTTCTTACATTTGAAATAATATGAAATAAAAAAAGCCATATCTAGACAATGACACTGAACAGGGGTTTGATCACCAGTCTATACCTGATAAGGAATATGGGAATCTCTAAGTAATCAGATCTCTACCTGTAACCCAGCCTCTCTGCATGTACTGTTTCCATTTGATAGGATCCAGGTTTAAAATACAGGGAGAAACATAAACTATTATATATATATATATATATATATATATATATATATATATATATATTCTTTATGGCTCAAAATTGTATTAATGAAATCAAATACAGAACCCCTCCCCCCCCCCCAAATAATTTCCTACATTGCATGCTATAGATTGTAGATAAATATATAGTAAGTATTGTATTCAATAGACAAATAACTTGCAATAATCGGTCAAAATAGTCCAGTTGGAAAAAATTAGAAAAATAATTATTAAATTGTTTGACTTTTTTTTCCATATTGTTTGTTTGGCCTGCAAGTTTTTCCTTTTCAATTTGCCCCAGCTAAATTAAGTGTTCAGTGAATATACCTTTCCAACAGGATAATTTATTACCCCTTTGGTGCTACGATGTTTTTTGTTTTTTTTAAATAAATTGTAAATAACCCGAAATTTGCATTCTGGAAGTCGGGTACTGGCATACGTTATTTTTATGTCAGAATGTACTCTTGTTGCTAGGAGAAAATGTTGCACTATGTGATTATGACTATTAATACAAATATTTATATTATTTACCGTCTTATATTTTTTTTCTATTAGGTTATTAAAGGGGTTTAAAGACTTAATTGGAAACATTTTGATTAGAAATGATAAAAACCGAGTTTGATTTCTAATGCATAAACTGCTGTGCCTTTTCTCCTATGGTTAATTGCTAAATTAACATGTCAGCAAAGTTGAGCTAATGACATTCTAATTTTTTTTTCTCTGCGACCTTTAGGTACCACATTCTATCAAATTCCACTGTCTTCTCTCATTTTTACAACTTGCACCCTAATTACAGGAAATGGGGGTACCAGAGCCCCGTATTAACTCGCTGTAGCCTGCTAGCCGGTTTCTAAGGATTTAACTGTGCAGACCTCTTTAACCCATTGTGAATAAGAGAGGCGTGCGCTGTTTAACCCCTAGAACATAAATACTTAACCCCTTACGTTCCAAGTCTGAGAGTTCATCTATGTTGGTTGTTGTTGCAATTATATTTTGCATTAGCTGAAAATGTTAAGTTAACCCCTTAGATTTTCTACCTAGATACAGTTTATGTATTCCCCTAGCCTTTTCGGTGTATATCAAGCGATTAGTTAATTTGCCATAGCTAGCTGTACCCTAACATAATAACTATAACACATACAGTATATAATTATCATAACATGCATGGCTTAGAAAGTGTATATATGCAGTATACCAGGCATCTGGTTATGTATATACATATGTAGATATACACACCTGCATATTAAACAGTTAGTTATGGTGATTTGACAAAACGATGGGCTGAAATAAGTGAATTGGAAAAAAAACACTTAAAAAAAAATTCATTTAGGCTTTTTTGCTTTTCAGCTAATCAAAAGTAATTTGTATTCTATTCTATTTGTAAAAACACCAATTTAAGTTATTAAATGCCAGTGTTAATTCATCTTCCACCTAAAGGGTTAATTTAACCATCTTTTGCTCCTTTACATAATTTGTCGACTTTTAAGAAGATTCTATATAATAAGTCACGTTGAAGGAAAACATATTGGCATTACTAGGTTTCACTTCCCAAGTGAGTTTATATTATAGTTCCTGTTTAGTAAAAAAAAATATATATATTTTTACATAATTAACTTATTGATTTTTTTTTTCCTTTCCTTTTTGAATAGTAAATGTGCAAATACTCAAAAAAAAAAACAACTAAATCGTCAGTGTGGAAAGTAAAATAAATGGCTGTACTGTACTTGATCGGTCTGCAGTTTTCTAAACATTCACACATAATACCATAGTACTTTATTAGCAAGTCCTGTGATATTTAAATAGTTTGTAGATCAATAATTTAGTTTTAATCGGCTCTCGGCTCATATATAAATATTATTTTTTCGTTCAATTTGTGCTGACTGCAGCAACTCTACCACGAAACCTTAATGACATATATGTTCATATAATATATATATAATCATATAAAATATATTCGTCATTTAGATTTCTTGGTACATAAAAATATATAAAAAAATATATTTATGTATGTGTGTGTATAGAGCTATTAACTCTGTAATTCTCAATTTTTGTAGAAAGCAGTTAAAAAGGGGTTAAAGTAAATTGTCAGAGCTTTGTGGATGGGTTTGGAAGCAAATCCTGTTTACTGATTGTCCCAGATTGTTGTGTTCTTGATAAGAAACCAAGCCACTGAATGACAGTGTTTGAGCCGAGGCGCCACAAACAGAAATTTAGCAGCTAACAATGTCCAAGACTCTGATGGGAGATCTCTCTGCACCTCTCAGGGATTACTGGAGTGTAGACAGAGGAGTACAAGAAAGCAAGGAACTTGATGTGTAATGATGATGGGCTAGGAAGGCTGTTTTTCCTGTTTATTATGTGCTATAGTGTAGTTTTAATAGCCCCCCGCCCCACAAAACAATGCAATGCATTTTATTTTTTAAATGTTTTAAGATATGAAGCTTTACTCAATATATATCTTTTTTTTAAATCAAATATATACAATGATTTTGTTTTTTTTAAATAGTGATATTGCTTTTTAAAAGTGTTGATTTTTTTTTTTTTTTGTTTGTTTGTTTGTTTTTTTTAAACCCCCTGTTAGCTGCAATCTTTATTTTTTTGTTCTTACCCATTATTGATGCTGGGATGATTACTGCATGCATTTTTTGTAACAGTAAGTTTTATAGATTCCAAGCCATCATAACATCGAGAGGGTCACATAAATCTTTCACTATAAGTAGATTGCCCTACCCCCTCCCCTCAGCCCAACAGCTTTAGTTCTCTATGACACTAATATTCCCATAATCCAGACTCAAGTGATACTGTCATTAAATTCTTATTCTCTCACTATGAAATAACTTCATTTTCGAATCTTGGGACCTTGGGATTTGTTAGAGTAAACCCAGTCCCTCTGGATAGGAAAATAGGGTGTTAGCCTGTGTCTTTTCCCTTCCTAGGGAGGCTGATCAGGTTGGTAGATATTTAAAACTAATCCAAACAAGTTTGACTTGTGAGGTCCACAGTCTAGACAGAGCTAGTGACTCGGCGGCTCCTTATCAGTGTTTGGGATCAGCTTGAAGAGGCTGTCTTAATGCCCACAGCTATAAGATCTACCATGCCTGGAGACACCACTCCTAAAGCTCTCTCTTGCAAGTGAACACACATAGCGAATCCCAAACCAATATATAAGGCGAATATTTCTAACCATAACTTCAAATAGCTCAGTGATGGAATGGAACCTTGCACCAAATAGAAATCCCCTTTAAATATGTGCTGAGACTTTTTGGTGTAATTCCAAGGTACAATTAACTAAGTGATTCCTACTTTTAATTATAATATGATAGATCTGGGCTATCTGAATATGGAGATTAATAGCCATCATTTTAAAATAAAATGTGTCTTGTATGGTGACAAGTGATAACACCTTGCAAGTCAATGTATCTGTTTATTTCTCTGAGGGACAGTCAGTCATAATGTCCCAGTGTCACCCAATATAAGGGACTCCTGGATTTGTGATTGACACCAGCAATTTAATAGGTAGTATTATTATTACTGGTATTTATATAGCGACAGCATATTCCGTAGTGCTTTACAATATTATCAAAGGGGGAGATTTAATAATAAATGAGACAATTACAAAAACATACAGGAACAAAAGGTTGAAGTTTAACAAAACAGTGAATTCTGACGATTTGCAAAATTTAAGTCACTATAGATGAGGTGGAGGACATCTCAACCTATACGAATATTATTCTAATTTGGTTGTTTCTGTTTAACATTTACACTTCGATCTAATGTTACCACAACTCCACTGTTTAGTGAATACACTCCTAAATTAATCTCCCATAACACTTTTTTTGTTCTGGTGATTTGCCTATTGAATAAACATAGTGATATGAAACAACATGGATTTATTAAGTAAAAATGGTTGGGTACCAATAGTATACTCAAGCATGAAATTTGTTTAACTTTAACATCACAACAGTTTTCTTACTACACCCAATACAGTAAAAAATAACATTGGCACTGAAGATGTTCATGCACTACATAACCCATAATGCCCAGCCAGCTTGAACATCATGCCAAATGTAATAACTAAACAGCTTGCAAAAGCAAGGCTAGCTATCTCGAGCCCATAAGTTTATTTATAATTTATATATATTATACTTAAATGAGAGTACCATTCAAATACAACTGTACAAACAGTTTTCTAAATGCATAGATCGCTCACATAAAAAAACGTTCTATTTAGCCAGTACATATATAGGAACCTTCAAGGTGACAGTAGATTAGAGTGTGGGGCAGACAGCTCTTAAACTGTCATAATTAGCAAGATATTAAAAAATACGTTTTGTGTGCTGTGGATAGAAATTTTTTTTTTTTTTTTTTTTTAAACAGAATGGTTTAATAATTATAAATCACACTACCATTAAATCTGAGTATCAATGGCCAATTAGTGCCTAGCCTAATACTTCTGTCTTAACATCTGATCTCTCGCTATAGCCCAAGCCAATAATTCAAATTTAGTTACAGGACCTTGATAGATTGGCTAATGCACTTACTCCATTAGCCAGATACCTATTGCCCATCCATTAGAACACACTGGAGTGCAATTCACCTGAGCTATAATAAAACAAGCTCCCCATCCCCCATCCTGTCTACTTACTTATTGCTGTGTTTCCTTGGTGATAAATTAATATCATAAACATTTTTATAGGGCTGGCATTTGTATACATTGAAGCCCCATAGCTTTGAAATGCTTTTAACTCGCTGATATATAATTAATAAGCCCACTGATATAACTGATGCATACTAGAGTAATACAAATACAGAACATGACTTTGGGAGAGGAAGTAGACTTGATTGATGATGTTAAAATGCCCTGGATGAAAAGTTTTTTTTTTCTTCCTTTGGGTTTGAATAAATAATTGGCATCTCTGTATGTTCTCCTCCTGCGATTATAACTTTAGCAGTCATGGGTAAAATATGCTGTTTATTGTGATCTGTCACACATACAAGGTGTTGTTTGAAAGGCTGTGGACCCAGCAGGTATAAAGAGATAGCCCTGGAAACGTCACTGTAATTGATAAAGGATTATATCTGGTGGGAACAAAACCGCAAAACATCTTACCCAAGCAACTGGCAATTTAGTGCACTGAAACAGGGATTCAAGTGTGTGTTACAATGTTACAGTATGGAAGGATGTGTGTAATGTACAAACACAAACACACAAACAAAAAACACAAACAGGCACAGTCTGCAGTAATACATAGGCAAACATTCACACACTACAATAACGCATTTACAATGACATAAAAATGCAAAACATTCTGTTTGTGGTCAGTTTAATATTCATTACATTAAGAAATAAGCAACATTTCTATAAATATATATATTTCAGATCAGTTCAGTTTTCTGTTTACATTTCTGTTTTTGTTTATTTTTTGTTTTGTCAGATTTATAGTGCATTGCAGTGTATGTTCTAAAGTTAAAGAAAAGTAAAGATCCCTTCTCCGTGTAACAGTAGTCAGCAACAAGCAGTGTGAGCAGAATGTGTGTGTGTGTGTGTCTGTAAGGGAGTGTGTATGTTTTAAGGTTTGGCTTCGTGTGGTGAGAGTTGCATTCCACAGAAGCTGAAATGTTAGCAGCCTATCTCCAAATACTCGTTGTCAGCAACAAAATGTGTATGTATGAGAGTATATCTGTGACAGAGTGAGTGAGTTTCAGTGTTTGGCTGAGTTTCATGAGAGTTGCATTCCACAGTGGTAGCTGACATAATGTATCTGGGAAGTCAGCTGACTTGAAAACTGAATAAAATTAACTTTTCAATCCATTCACTGCCAAAGTGCCACAAAAATGACCATACAATGTTTTTTTCTTGTGTTCAGGATAATATTGTGTTAATCTGTTTCATGGCACTAAGCATTGTTAGCACATTATTTATTGGCAAAAAAATAAATTTCCTGATTCTCACTTATGGG